ACACGCTCGGTGCAGGAACAGTGGGCAGGCTGTTCCTGTCGGGGAGCAGGCACCGGCCTCGGTCTGGGCCCTGCCGAGGAGCCTGGGCGCCGGCAGTCCCATCGTTGGAGGGCTGCTGTTAAGGGAGGGGAAGGAGTTGAAGGGGTCCTCCCACTTTGGGTCCTAGCTGATTCACTCCACTTTGGGGGGACGGGTTTTTCTTACAAGAGGAATGTTTGGTTCGTGTTGGGCTCGTGTTTGCGAGAGCTCATCATCTCAAAGAACGAAACAGGGAAAAGAGAGAGGGCGGGAAGAGCAGAGCAAGACGAGGGAGACAGAGGAGCAAGGAGCCAGGCAGATCAGGAGCGGTTTGCAACGTTGCGCGGCAGGAGCCAAAGGCGCTTGGTGAGATGGGACGCTTCCCACAAATGGGAGGACGCACGAAGTCTTCGTGGCTTAGACACAGAGTAACGGGAGCTACGGAATCCTTCGAATCCAGCTCCTCGTTTATTCAAGATTAAAACCTTAGTGATGAAACAGCGGCGGTGCACGGACAGCTCCGGAATCTAACACGGACCCCTGTGGGAAAACCCTATGGCCCTGAGATCGTGGTGCTTCCCCTCCGTGGCTTTCCTGAACTTTCCTTCCCGTCGTGTATTTGCGATTGGGAAGTTTTGAGGATGGGGTGTGTGCGCGTGCATGTGTTTAATGCAAAGCTTTTGGGAAGGAGGGCAGAGCAATAGGAAAGTCTCCCCTTATCCTTGGAGGTTAAGTCCCAAGACCCTGATGAATAGGGGAGGCCTGAAACCTGGGATAGTACCTCGCCCTATATAACCCGTTTTTGTATACATACATACCCATGATAAAAACATAATAGTTAACGGCACTAACAGAACAATTACAACAATATCCTTTAATAAATATTATGTGAATGTGGTCTTCCTCTTAAAGTATCTTACTGCTGTGAGCCAGGGAAAACTGAAATTGCAGAAAGTGGACCCTTAGATAAGGACAGACTTCTGTAATAGAAACAATGTAGTATTCAATAAGTGAATCGTCATTATCATTGGATTGCAATTGCTGCAGGATAACCCTCTATTTAAATGGCTGAGTTCGACTGGAATGTAATCAATTGTCTACAGGCTTTGGGTAAAGGGAAGGAAAGAGAATCAGATTGGCACCCCTCCACATTCCGTGTAGAATGACAAATGTACTCTTCACACTTGTCTGAAATGCATCAAGTCAGTACTATTTTTTAAATTGTAAAATATACAGAACGTAAAACTTACCGTTTTAGCTATTTTTGAGTGTACCGTTCAGTGTGCAGTTAAGCACATGGACTTTGTCAGGCAACCACTACCCGTCTCCAGAGCTTTTCTATTCTCCCTTAACAGTAGAGTGTGTGCATGCACACATGAGAGTGACAGAAAGAGAGGAGGGGGGGAGAGAGAGGAGCACCTTCCACAAGGTCTGATCCCTCTGGACCTTCCTCCTCCAGCCTCCAGAACAGTGGCTATCGGGCACTTGCCCATGTGCCCTGTATGTTTCAGGCCCACCAAGTTGGAGATTTGAACTTGGGTCACTACGTACAATGGGCCTTTTCTGAGCAGTGCCTCACGTGCAGCTCCATGGAGCAGGCCCATCTCCAGAACGTTTTCATCTTCCCGAAGCGAAACTCCATGGCTATAAAACAGGAACTCTCCATTGCAACCAGCCCTTGGCAACCAACATTCTATATGTCTCTGAAGTTTGACTATTTTAGATACCTTCTACAAGAGGACTGCAAAATGTGAAAAAAGTGGAATTAAAGTCTGAGCTTCTTTTTGGTGCAAGAACCCAAATAGAAATAGAAATGCATGTGTGGTTTTTTGAAGACCCCTTGTAAAGCGGAATAAACATTATTTGTACTTTCATGACTGGCTTGTAGCTTTTTTTTCT